GGACATGTCCCTGAATGTCCTGTATGTTTTTAGATACACACCACTAATCAACAGCCACACACTTTAATTTTCTCCATGTTTTGACTACTGCTCTGGTCAGCTGCCAAACTGGCATATCAGGTGACGTCACGGTTTGACGTTGCCTGTGTAGGATGGGGCTAGCCCAACCAAGTGATTAAATTGTATAGGCTATTAGGTTCGGGGCTTTTTTCATCTTCCGGGCTGCCTGCGCGCAGTACTGGAGGTGGAAGATGCCTGGACGTGTGATGTTAATTTTGCCTGTGATCCTTTGAATAAACCAGCATGGTTATATTTTTTATATATCCAAGTGGTCTGCGTCGTCTCTCAGAGTTCTTGGTTGAAAGAACTGGGCAGAATCTTTCAGACCTGAAGTGGACATCAAGCATCAGGACCATCATCAAGAAGGCACAGCAGAGGATGTACTTCCTGCGCCAGCTCAGGATGTTTGACTTGCCTCAGCTGCTGCTGTTGCTGATACAGTTCTACAGAGGAATCATCGAGTATGTTCTTTGCACCTCCATCACTGGTTTGGCTCAGCAACCAAAAAGGACAAGTACAGATTTCAGTGGACAGTCAGGACTGCAGAAAAGGTCATTGGTGTGAGCCTGCCCTCCATGGAGGACCTGTACACGTCATGGGTTAAAAGGAAGGCAGAGAGGATCACTGCAGACCCCTCACACCCTGGACACAATCTGTTTGAACTCCTCCCCTCTGGACAGCGTTACAGGTCACTGTGCACCAAGACAACCAGGCACAGGAACAGTTTCTTCCCCCAGGCCATCACTCTGATGAACACTTAACCAACCGTAAGACCGTAAGACCGTAAGACCGTATGACTGGACAATAACCCTCAGTGCAGTACCTGTAAATATACCTCATACAGATTATATAGATTCGCACAGGTCTCTATTTTTAAGTACTTTGTTTTTATTCCTATTTATCTCATTTCAATGAGCATTCCTTTGCTGTCTGCATTGTTTATTGTCTGTTTATACTGCTTATTTTGCATTGTTTGCACTGTTTGTTGCTGTTAATACAGCTTATTTTGTTATATTACAAAGCCTTATGCTGGTTTACTGTTTGCTTGCCCCTTGCATGGGGATATGTACATGCACATTGAGAGCTGATGTACCAGAGTCAAATTCCTCGTGTGTCTGACACACCTGGCCAATAAAGCTGATTCTGATTCTCTTTATGTTCACAGTTCTTTTGGCTCTTACGTCAGTCCCCGAACATAGCTTCCTGCCTTCTCTTATATGGAAAACACCCTCTGAAATATGCTCAAAAACAGGAAACAGACTGATCGTCTCCCTGAGGCTCTCGTTCAACACACACCCTATTTTCAGAACAAAAAACGTCAAAGCCTGCCAAAATTATGTAAGCATTGTTCAGCTACAAATGTACAAATTGTTAAGCTACAAATGTACTGTTTGTGTGTAAGCAGGGTCACCTGATCCTCCCCAAACTATAAGCTTTATCAAAAATGAAAGTCTTAAAGTCTAATCTTTAAAGGTAGAGAGGGTGTCTGCCTCCCGAATTGAGACTGGGAGCTTGTTCCATAGGAAAGGAGTTTTATAGCTCAGCCTCCCATTCTACCTCTGTGGACTCTAGGAACCGCGAGTAGACCTGCACTCTGAGAGCGAAGTGCTCTGTTGGGATGATCAGGCACGATGAGGTCTTTAAGATACAATGGAGCCTTGTCATTAAGGGCTTTGTATGTTAGGAAAAGGATTTTAAACTATTCTGAATTTTACAGGGAGCCATTGGAGAGAAGCTAATATGGGAGAGATATGATCTCTTTTGCTAGTTCCTGTCAGTACTCTGGCTGCAGCATTTTGGATTAACTGGAGGCTTTTTAGGGAACTATTGGGACATCCTGATAGTAAGGAGTTACAGTAGACCAGCCTGGAAGTAACAAATGCATGGAGCATTTTTCAGCATCACTTTGAGACAGGATGCTCCTGATTTTTGCGATATTGCACAGGTAAAAGAAGGCAGATCTAGAGACTTGGTTTATGTGCGATTTAAAGGACATTTACTGGTCAAAAATAACTTCAAGGTTCCTCACAGCAGTACTGGAGGCCAGAGCTATGTCATCTAGAGTAACTACATGGTTAGATAGCAGATTTCTAATGTTTTCAGGCAAAAGTACACAACTTCAGTTTTGTCAGAGTTTAGAAGTAAGAAAGTATGTTGCATTTACTGGCTAGGTAGGACCCATAGACACACGGGGCAAGGGAAGGTTCAAGTAGGATATTAAATAATACAGGACAAAACCCCAAAGGAGAAAAAAATATACAAGGGCCCAACCTGAGGACAAGAAACAAAGTGTAACCGGCGGGTTGGCCATGCCTATACCGCGAGGTGAGCAATTTGCTCGGTTGATTATGGATATAAATACCACCCCTGGAGAAGCTGTTGCGATAAGCAATTGCTGTGCTGGTCACTGCTGTGATTGTTTTTGAAGTGAATCTCCCTCCATTGATCTGTGGCCTGCTTTCCGTTTGAGCTTTTTTAGGGGATTACTACATGCTCTCCAGGGGTGATAATTGATGTAAGCATGATCCTGCAGAACTTGGCGTCCATCGCACATGATGTGCTAGGGCAACGTGCAGCCAAGGTAATCTGTAGCGCCATTGGTTTTAATTGTTTTGATGTTTTTATGCTATTTATTAACAGTGGTTTTACTCGTTGCAGGAGTGATAGCCACTGCTGCTTTGCTTAGGTTTCTTTTGCCTGCTTTGCTTACTTTTGCTTTATGTGCTTTTATGTTGGGAAGCTTACTCAGCCTTATATTTCCTATTCATTGTATAGTACCCAAGTTTTATGGTGTATGAGCCGCATGTAAATGGTTTGCAAGAAGGCAAGACCCTCTTATGTTTGGTTTGGAGTGGTTTTGGTCATGTTTATTTATGGGTCTTTTCTAACCTGTAGACCTCTGACCATTTTTATTCCTGTTCTGCACTGTATTTATTGAGTGGGGAGTAACTTCTTCTCAAGCACAGTATTTTAGCTTCTGGGCTTAGGCCTTTTTTTAAAACATTGTTTTACTGTTAACTTATACATTGACTCAAATTCTTATTTTTGTGGACAAAACCAACGCCTCTGTGTGTTTGCGGACTTATCTGGGGGTGGTAATCTGGTGCTTGTGGGGTTGGAAGAATTTGACCTCTTGAAAACAATATTCTTTGAGAGTGTAGGGTATGGTCCGTCTTACCATGCTAACTCTGAGAGACGAGGCAGTCCAAGTAACTTCAAAACAGTGCTGATTTATTCGAAGGATCACAGGTAAAATTAACATTACACGCTCAGGTATCTTGCACCTCCACCATGCTGATGAAAGATGAAAGACCCCGAACCAAACCAGGCCTATACATTATATCCCCTCGGTTGGGCTAGCCCCATACTACACAGGAACGTCAACCGAGACGTCTCTGTTGCCAGCTTTGCAGCTGGTCATAGCAGTAGTCAAAACATAAAGTAAATCAATGTGCGTGTGTCTGTTGATTAAGTGGTGTGTAGCTAAAAACATTCTCACAGACTTCTAGTAACATGTCGTGTCTTAAACATAAGGGCATTATGGCTAAGGCTACAGTTATACACGTCGTAATAATAATATTGAACACCCTGTCTGCTGACAGTCATCAACTTTTCTCTCTGGTATCCTTGACCAGAAGTACCCTGTAGAAACTCATAAGCAGGCCTAAGCATTTAACAGTCTAACTATACATCCTATCTCCACTAACATTTCTAATACTGTACATAAAGTATCTATCCAATATCTATCTGACTAAAAATATCTAACAAGAGCTTCTAAAACCTATTAGTGTCTGGGTTGCATAGGCCTGTATATTGGCCGGGTCACAAAAGGAAACCAAAAGGCTAAACTAAACAGTTGGGTCAGGGAGCTGAGTAAGGAACAAAAGTCAGACTGGAGAAATCTTGGTAAGTATTGTGTGCGGAAGGATTTTAAAAGGCCGCTCTATTGCTGATGAAAAGAAACTGACATCCATACAGTGATCAGTCAAGGGGAAAAACACTGGCCTCTGCAATTGTTCTTTGTCTTCACAGCTAAGGGCTATTCCACTGCAATTCCTGCACAGTCAGTTTGTTAATTTATGTCTAAAAGGGCTCAAAGGTAGCTTAAAGAAGACTGTTGACTGTATCAACAGTGGAACTGATTCTGCTATTGTGTTGTTGAGCAACATCAGATAAGAGGTAAGACTTTCATCTACAGACCTAAAATTCAAGGTAGATGCAAACTTCTAAAAAACAGACTCATTTGATGTTTGTTTAGCTTGAAAGATTGAAGTGAAACCTACAGCCACAGAGGAATGGATGGGACACAAATGAAGAAAGCGGTGGATGACAAGAAGGAGAAGACACAGGAGGAGATGGTGCACCTCAGGAGAAAGATCGGCTTGCTGCCTGCTGTGTCCTTCATCATTGGTTCAGTGGTGGGCAGTGGGATCTTTATCGCACCCAAGGGAGTCCTGGTGAACAGTGGCAGTGTGGGGCTCTCTTTGCTCGTGTGGGTTCTGAGTGGAGTCCTTTCAATGTTTGGTAGGCGGCTTCATGGTATAATTTATTTGTGATCAGTTACTGTAAAAACATGTAACTCTATGTTAGATTATTAATTATGCATTTGTTAGTTGAAACATCTTATAAATTGTTTGTAGGTGCATTAATTCATCAACTCATTAACTACTAAAAAGTGCATAGTAGTTCGGTTGACAGATGCCACATTCATTCAACATTAAATAAAATTTTTTCTTAAAATATCGATGAGCTAGACCAGGCATAGGCAAACTACGGCCCGTTAGGCTTTTAATCGGGCCTGCCGAACTTGTCCAAATTATATTATTGTAGTGATCCTTCACTGGGCATGTTATGATGTTCTAAATTGTTATGGTTACTTGATGGGTGTGGAGCTTCAGGGGTTAAGAGGTGTGAGAGCGGGAGGGAGTGAAGTGTGGGGGATTTTGAGCTACAGAAAGTGTTAATAGGCTGTTTTTCTTTATTATTGTTGTTGAGCTGTTGTTTTGGCGTGGTTACGGCCAACAGTAACCGGTTGTGTAGAATTAATAAAAAAGCGACTATTCGTCGGCACTCAGGGTTCTCTTCCTTGTGTCCTGCGGGACGCTACAATATTGATGTATTGTTAGAAATTAACCCAATTATTTTGTTGGAAGCATGAGAAGTGAAGACAGGAGATGACTTTAGACCAGTGTCTAAATTATCTTTTAAGTCTAAAGTTCTGGAGAAGATTGTTTTTATCCAACTTCAGTCTTTTTTTAACAGATAATGGCATTGAGGAGCAATTTCAATCTGGTTTTAAATCAAAACGTAGTACTGAGTCTGCATTATTAAAAATCAGCAGTGATATCCTGTTGGCTAGGGATGCCGGGGATTCGGTTTTATCTGTGTTTTTAGACCTCACTGCTGCCTTCGATACAGTGGACCATGGAATCCTCCTATTTCGTTTGGAGCAGTGCGTAGGAATTCAAGGTACTGTTCTTAACTGGTTCAGATCTTATCTCACCAATAGAAGTTTTACTGTTAATATTGGTACCTGTTCGTCATCCTCAACTATCCTTTCCTGTGGTGTCCTCCAAGGATCTGTGCTTGGTCCCATTTTGTTCTCTTTGTACATGCTCCCACTGGGATCTATCTTAAGGAAATATGCCCTTTCTTTTCATTGTTATGCAGATGACATTCAGGTTTACTTACCATTGAAGGCAACAAGAGGGATATCATTACAGCCGCTGTCTGACAGACTTGAAATCATGGTTGGCACTTAACTTTTTAAATCTCAACGAAAATAAGACTGAGTGTATGCTATTTGGCGACCTGGCGGACTTAACTACTTCTAACCAGGGCCTGGGCCCCCTAGCTCAACACCTGAAGTTGACTGTAAAAAATCTAGGGGTGATGTTTGATGGCGACTTGAGGTTTGACAAGCAGATCAACTCAGTTGTGAAATCTAGCTTCTTCTACTTGAGGTTGTTAAGCTACGTCAAGTCATTCCTTTCTTTTAATGACTTTGAGACTGCAATTCATGCTTTTATCACTTCTAGACTTGATTAGATGCTCTATACTATGGTGTTAACCAGTCCTCCCTCACTCGTCTCGAAATGGTGCAAAATGCTGCTGCTCGTCTTTTGACAAGTACTAGGAAGTTCGAGCATATAACCCCGATACTGGCTTCTTTCCACTGGCTTCCAGTCCATTTTAGAATTGATTTCAAGTTATTGATTTTTGTTTTTAAGGCTCTTAATGGTTTGGCACCATTTTAACTAACCGAACTAGTGCAGTGGCACAAACCTACAAGGTCCCTCAGATCTTCAAGCCAGTTTCTTTTAGAGGTTCCTAGGGTCATATATAAATGCTCGGGTGATCATGCTTTTACTGTTGAAGCCCCTAAATTATGGAATAGTCTACCTTTTAATGTTAGGTCAGCTACTGACCTCAGCACTTTTAAATCATTGCTTAAAACTTATTTATTTGGCTTGGCTTTTAATACACAGTAGGGCCTGATGCATTCCTTTTAACTCCTTTTAATTTAATTTTAATTTATGTTATGTGTGTCTGTGTTATTGTGCTGTTTTATTTTTATTTGCACTGATCTTAATTATTTTAGTCATTGTGATTTTATTTTCCCATGTACTTTGGTCGGTGGATGTTGTTTTAAAGTCCTATATAAATTGATTCAATTTGATACAGTATGACCTGGATGACTGAGAATTTGCACGGACACTACAGATTGAACTGCATATTGACTAGATCAGGCATGGGCAAACTACGGCCCGTTAGATTTTTTGAATCCGGCCCGCCGAACTTGTCCAAATTATATTATTAAATTATGTTATCAATAAACCTCATTCGTTTGCCTTTTTCCCTACGATGCATACGTTTCCCCCAGTAGATGGTAGATCACTGCATCATTCATCAGAATTCTCTGTGTAAGTCTGCATTGCAACTTAATCATATTGTGAATCCAATCTTAAGACTTGTTAGCTTTATACAAGGAAGGGGACTTCAGCACTGTCAGTTCATTGCATTCCTGGAGGAAACCGGTGTGGATCACCAGGACTTACTTTACTGCTCTCGTGTCTGCTGGTTAAGTTTGGGCAAAGTGTTTCAGCGAGTGTTACAGCTCAAAGAGGAGATTAGCATATTTTTGGAGTTAATGGGGAAATCAGACAAATTTTCTGAGCTGAGCGACAAGAACTGGCTTTGTGACTTTGCATTTGTTGTGGACATCTTTTCACAAATGAATAAGCTGAACGTGAAGCTACTTTGTGCACAACATGTACACAAATGTGAGAGCCTTCAAATCCAAGCTGACTTGTTTCTCAAGACAAATTTCAAACAAATCTTTCGCCCATTTTCCCACACTAGCCATGCAGAAAGAGGCCACCCGAAACGCGAAGAAATACAGGATATCACTGGACGACGTGCACGGAGATTTCAGCTGTCGGATCTCTGATTTTGAAAAAATTGACAAGTCACTTCAGGTGTCCTGTCCCCTGTCACAAGACCCTGAAACAGCGCCACAGGAGCTGCAATTGGAACTAATCGATCTTCAGTCTGACTCCGTTTTAAAGGAGAAATTCAACTCTCTTAAACTAAATGATTTTTGTGCTTCACTTAACGAAGCCACATTTCCAAACCTTCAGAGGACGGCACAGAAGATGCTGGCGTTGTTTGGCTAGACCTATGTGTGTGAGCAGGCGTTGAGCATCATGAACATCAACAAAGCCAGTCACAGATCCATGTTAACTAACCAACACCTCAGATCTGTCCTGAGAATAGCCACAACAAAACTAACTCCAGACTGATGCACTGGCTATAAAGGGAGACCAACAACACTGTTCCCACTGAAACTGAAGGTTTATTTTTCTACTGTGTTATGAAAAAGTGCATTTGGAGAATAATTTGCACAATAAGCCTTACATATTCATTCTTTGTTACCTATTAAAGGTCAAAACCTTTTATGTACTGGCTTTTATATGTCATTTATATTAGTTCACACAAACACTCTACTTCTGCTCCAGGCCCAGCCCCTTAGAGCCCATTGTGGCCGTAAGTCAAAAAAGTTGTCCACCCCTGAGCTAGACTAATGCAGCTGAATCACTGTGAGTGTGATATTAATGATACTAATTTTTTATGTCAACAATTGAAACTCTGTTAAAGCGATTTCGTATGCACTTATTTTCCTGTAGACTTACATATTTGTCTGGTCCAATAGGGGCTTTGTGCTATGCTGAACTGGGCACCAGTTTTACAAAATCAGGGGCCCACTACACGTATCTACTGGAGACACTGGGGCCACTGCCTGCCTTCTTACGACTCTGGGTGGAGTTATTCATCTGGTTAGTTTTGTTTTGGGCACCATAAAAACAAAATTGATTGTCAATCATATTACAGAACACAACAAACATATTTTCCATCTGCAGGCCGGCTTCAGCTTCTTATGTATCACTGGCTTTTGGCCGCTATGTGGTGGAGCCGTTCTTTGCACCTTGTCCTGCTCCTACAGTCCTAATCAAGCTGGTCAGCATCTTCGCTGTCAGTGAGTGGTTTTGTACCTTACACTCCCATTATATTATTGTAAAGGTAGTGCAAAATATAGATCCATAGATATTTTTCTTTTACCAGCTGCTTGTTTTTGTGTCTCTGCAGCATTTGTTGTGGCAGTCAACTGCTGGAGTGTGACAATGGCCTCTCGCACTCAGGTCACCTTGACTTTCATTAAGATGCTTGCCCTGGGGCTCATCATCATCCCTGGTGTCATTGCTTTGAGCAAAGGTGGGATGATGTAATTGCTACTCCTGCAGATACAGGTGGAGTTAAACTCGGAGACCCTGACAAATGGCTGGTGATTGTGTTAAACTACTTTCTGCTTGTCTTTCAGGAAAGACAGAGAATTTCCAGAAAGGCTTTGAAATTGATTCATTAACACTGGATAAGTTGCCACTGGCCTTTTATAATGGTCTATATGCCTACAGTGGATGGTAAGCAAGCCAACTGTAATGTTATAGACAACAATAAATTTAGTTAGAAAAGTTATCAACATACATACTAACATTCACTGAGACCTGATACTGATAGATACACAAACAATCAGAAGTCTGTGCCTTTGTGTCTGAACATTTTCCTTTTACCTCAGGTTTAATCTGAACTATGTCACAGAAGAAGTCATAAACCCAAATAGGTATTTTGCATCTGACATTTGCTCTCTAGTTAATGATTATGGTATAGCCAACATGTACATGTGTATTTGTGTACACAATCCCATCTCTAGTGTGTACACAACAATGTACATTGTAACATAATAGTAAAATAATATCTTAAATATACTGAACATCATAAATCAATGAAGACAGTGGCAGAGGTTCTTTTTTGCTTTCTGTTTGTGAAATCCTGCTTCATATAATTAACGCTGCCATTTCCACAGTTTCTTGAACTCTGTCTCTTCTCTTGTCATCCATGGCATCTGTAAACAAAAGCCCTCAGCTTTGCATTTCACTCAGTTTACATGGGCTCCACATATTGTCAGACGTACAGCTTGTAGAGAGACCTGTTTGATAGGCCGGAACAGCAGGGATACAGCTGTGAGGAGAGTCTGATGGGTGATTGTCTGTGGTACTTTATTACCTAAAGGGGCATGTTCAGCTCATCTCAGTCAATGTAAATCTGTCTAGCCATGGGAATTTATGTCCTACATGAAGAAGTGCTTTGCTTTAGTGTGCTGCATTAATTTGACAGGGTGAATGGTGGTATGTCACTACAGCTGTATTGTCTGTGTCTCCAGTACCCCTTGACTGTGTTGATTGTGATCGTTGGAGAGATCTACCAGCTCATCAATGTTGTCTCCTTTGGCAGCTGGTTTTTCATGGCCTTGGCAACCTTGGGGATGCTCATCCATCGGTACCGCTTCCCCCTCCACCCAAGACCTTTCAAAGTTAGCCTGCCAGTAGTTATAGCACTCAACTGCAAAGCATTTCTTATCCATCTGCACACTAGCCTGACCAAATGTTATTTGCTTTGTCTAAAAACCCAAAGGTGCCTGTGGCCATCACATTCATCTTTACAGTGGTTTGCTTCTTCATTGTGGGTATGTCTCTGTATTCAGACCCCTGGAACACAGGGATAAGCTGTGCTCTCACACTGACTGGAGTCCCAGTTTATTATTTGACTGTCCACCACTTCCACCTGCCCCACAGATGGCGACACATCTTCAGTAAGTCATACTGAGATCTGCCAACTTGTGTTTGGTGAAAAGTTTGAACAGAAAATGTCTCAACAAACAACAAATTAGCTTTTCGCATTAGATTAACAGAGGACAAAGAACATGTTAGTCCTGGGTTTGTGTTTTACTTTTTCCAGTTAAAGACAAAACACATAGACCTGCAGTAAAAGCAGAAATCTTACAGAAAGTGTTCTCTAAATGTAGAATGTTGGTAAATATTACACAGCAGGGCAAGTAAAATGTAGGTTTCACATGGCCACACTTCTTATTAAACCCTACTGTGGACTTTTTACCCTAGCTTTGTGAAATAAATCACTTTGTTAACCAGTTCTCTGACATATTAATTATTTTAACCCCAGAGCTGAGGGTTAGGGATTGACCAGGGAAAACAACTCTGATTCTTTTCCTCTTTCCCAGACTACTGCAGCTTACAGCTCCAGATCCTTCTAGAAGTGGTTCAACAGGAAGTCCAGACATACTGAAGACCTGCTAAAATTTGACTCAATTATTTCAAGATAAATTGCTAATATTATGCAATTTTCAGGACCAGTTTCTAACATCCATTGGCACTGGAATTAAATTGTCAGGGCCGCTCGGCGGCCGCTGCCTCTCCTCCGGTTCTCCTCTACTCTCTTTATCATGTGGGCTCTGCACCTCAGCTGTGTTGCATTCCAGTAATTAGCAACTGGTTTGTCAATGCACACAGCTGGGGTGCATCCCGATGATTACTTTTTCCTCCTTATTTATATCTCGGGCAGACGCTCCGCCGTCGCCGGATCATTGCGAAATGTGACTTGTTATGGACAATACTTACCCTGTGTAAGTTCAAAAAAAGTGTTATGTTTTGACCCGCATGTTTTAGACGTGTTTAGATGCTACTCTGACAGTTCCTGTGCGTTTTTGGCTTGACCTATTCACGCTATTCTGCGGTTGGCTATATGTCCTTCTGTCGTCCACGCTGACAGTCTCTGTGCAGTGGATTATATTGTGTACGTTGGTTCTTTTGTTCACCTGTCCGTCCACATCCTGTGCTATCCTAGTTCCTGCCATCAGTGTATGTGTACCCGTTCGTCCTGGTCTCCTAGTCATCGCTGCCCTTCCCTTGTATGTATTATGGACCCTGTTATGTTGTCACTTAGTTGTTGTTGTCTTACATTAAACCTCTTTTGTACTAGCACCTGGGTCGGCTATCTTGAGTCCTACCCCTAGTTCTCCCTCACCCACCTGGTGAGGGGGACTAATCATAACAAAAATAATCTTCATGACCATTGAAATCTCTGCTCAAGATTTCTGCCGCTTGTATCTGTGATCTCATTCTTTCGGTCATGATCCAAAGTTCATGGCCATAGGTGAGGGTAGGAACGTAGATCGACCAGTAAATTGAGAGCTTTGTCTTACGACTCAGCTCCTTTTTCACCACAACAGTCTGGTACAGAGACCACATTACTGTGGATGCTGCACCGTTCCGTCTGTCAAACCGGCCGCTCAATTTTTCCTTCACTCGTGAACAAGACCCCAAGATACCTTAATTCTTCCACTTGAGGGAGCAACTCGCCCCCAACCTGGAGAGAGCAATCCACCTTTTTCCAATTGAAAAGCATGGCCTTGGATTTGGAGGTGATAATTCTCATCCCTGCCACTTCACACTCGACTGCACTCGACCCAGTGCACGCTGTAGGTCTTGATCTGATGAAGCCAACAGAACCATATCATCCGCAAAGAGCAGAGACACCCTTCGTTCCCTGGCTGTGCCTAGAAATTCTGTCCATAAAAATAATGAACAGAATTAGTGACAAAGGGCAGCCTTGGTGGAGTCCAACATGCACTGGAAACAGCTCTGACTTACTGCCTGCAATGCGAACCAAACTCCTACTCCAGTCATACAGGAAACGGACAGCCCGTAACAACAAGCCCCGCACCCCATAATCCCAAAGTACCTCCCACAGGATGCCCCGAGGGACACAATCGAATGCCTTCTCCAGATCCACAAAACACATGTAGACTGGTTGGGCAAGCACTCATGAACCCTCCAACACCGTAGTGAGGGTATATGTTATGATTGTGTCAGGTTTGCCCGGCTGCGCCTGCCTCTCTCACTTCCCTCACTCTGTTTTTGTTCCCTTACCCTGATTACGTTATCTGACGCACCTGCTTCTCGTCCCCAGATCACCAGCGGCACCCGATTACTTTCTCCCTATTTATTCTCCGCTCACTGTCCATTCCCCTGCCAGTTCTTTCTAGCTTTCTCAGGCCCGTAAATTCCCGTTGTTTTGATTGTTTTATATAGACCTCTGTTACCTTCACTCACGTCCTTTCGCCCGAGCGGTGTTCTTCTACGTTTGTTGTTTCCTCCTCCTCAAGTCGCTCCACCGGACTGTCGCCGCGCTCACCTCGGTGTCTGAGCAGACATAACAGATTGCTTGGACACAGAGGTGAGTGAAAATAGAGGTGAGTGAAAATAGACGGACCCAGGTAGCTGACTTCGGTGCAAGTAGTGCTCAGTTTATTTACAGTGATAATAGCAGACAGGTAAATAGACAGGTGAAGAGAGATGGAGTGTAACCGGGCGTCGAGCAGCAGTAGAGGAAAACAGTCAGTTGTGTGATGAATGATGATAGATCGGGCTGTGGACCCTGGGGGTCACTCCTATACTGGTCGTGGTTTGAAGCAATGATGGCTGAGAAGACAGAACCTCTGTGTCTGAGCAGACATAACAGATTGCTTGGACACAGAGGTGAGTGAAAATAGAGGTGAGTGAAAATAGACGGACCCAGGTAGCTGACTTCGGTGCAAGTAGTGCTCAGTTTATTTACAGTGATAATAGCAGACAGGTAAATAGACAGGTGAAGAGAGATGGAGTGTAACCGGGCGTCGAGCAGCAGTAGAGGAAAACAGTCAGTTGTGTGATGAATGATGATAGATCGGGCTGTGGACCCTGGGGGTCACTCCTATACTGGTCGTGGTTTGAAGCAATGATGGCTGAGAAGACAGAAGTACGTACAGACAGTTAATGACAACTGTGCATCGACCTGTATGGTGGAGACTGGCAGGGTTGAGAAGTTCCAGGTTCGGAGGAGAGGTCCGTGGAGAAGAAAGGTGTAGCAGGGATGGAAACAAGGCTATGGAGGAGAGGGGAAACCAGGGCTGGCAGGAGCTAGAGAAAAACATAAGGACTCGACATAATGCAACTGGTAGACAAAAAATAATGAGAGCAAAGACGGGCCTGAGAGTTGAGAAAGAACTGGCAGGGGAGTGAATGGTGAGCAGGGTATAAGTGTATAAGTAGGGAGAAAACTAATCAGGTGCAGCTGGTGATAATCTGGGATCTGGGAAAGTGAAGCAGGTATGCCAGATAGTGTAATTAGGGTAAAGAAGCCAAAACAGAGTGAGAAGGCACCCCCCCCCCCCCAAGGATGAATACCAGAAAGCCAAACCACCATCCCAGGGAGGGAGGCGGGGGCCACCGGAAGGAGGCAATCACCAGGGCCCCACAGGTTTGTCTGGGTGTGCTCGGTAGAAATCGTGAAGGAGAGAGTCATTGAGGATAAAAGAGCGGGGAATCCGGGACCGCTCCTCCCAACCATAACCCTCCCAGTATTGGAAACCCCGGCCCCTAGGGCAGACATCCAGGATCTGCCTGATGGTGTATGCAGGGCCACCGTCCACCTCCAGGGCAGGAGGAGGCGGAGCCGGTGGTGGACAGAGGGGACTGGAGGAGACTGGCTTGACCTGGGAGACATGAAAAACAGGGTGAATGCAGAGGGAATCAGGTAGTTGGAGTTTGACAGCAGTGGGATGTATGATTTCCTGGATGGTAAAGGGCCCTAGGAACCGAGGCGACAGTTTGGGGCACGCTCCTTTCAGGGGTATATAGGCAGAAGAGAGCCACACCTGTTGCCCAACCTGGTAGGTGGGAGCGGCCCGGCGGCGGCAATCAGCAAGCCGTTTATTTTGATCCGTCGTACGCAACAGAGTGGCCCTGGTCTCAGCTCAGATGGTCTGACAACAGGTGATATGAGCTTGGACAGAGGGGACAGCAATATTGGTTTCAGCAGAGGACAGAAGGGGAAGCTGGTAACCTAGGGAGGCTTGAAAGGGAGAGATACAGGAGGCAGAGCTAGAGAGTGTGTTATGGGCATATTCCACCCAGGGCAACAACTGGCTCCAGTCCTCAGGTGAGGAACTGGTAACACAATGGAGCGCGTTCTCCACCTCCTGGTTCAGTCATTCAGCTTGGCCGTTGGTTTGGGGGTGGTAGTTAGAAGAAAGACAGGGAGGTGCTCCGAGGGCAGTGCAAAAAGCAGACCAAACGTGAGGTGAATTGTGGACCGCGGTCAGAAACGATAGTGATGGGGATGCCGTGAATATGAAAAACATGCTGAACCAGGAGCTGGGCGGTGTCTAGAGCATTGGAGAGTTGTGGAAGGGAGGGGAAATGGGCAGCTTTGGAGAAACGGTCGACGATGGTAAGAATGACAGTGTTGCCCTGGGAGGGAGGCAAGCCGGTGACAAAATCTAGGGCGATATGAGACCAGGGCCGACTAGGCGTGGTTAGTGGCCGAAGAAGACCTGCAGGGGACTGATGGAGTGGCTTGGCTTGCGCACAGGGAGCAGAGGCAGCTACATACTCCCTGGCGTCTTTGTCTAGGAGTGTAATGGTTTGTTGTCCCTCCGGATGGCATGCTAGCCGAGAGGCATGGGCCCAGTCGAGGGTCTGGGCCCTAGCAGCCTGGGGGACATATAATCTATCTGGTGGTCCACCCCCAGGATCGGATTCCTGTTGCTGCACCTCCCATGTGGTATCCTCAATTTCCTATGTAATGGAGGCTACCACACAGGAGGCGGGCAGAATGGTTTCAGGTGTGTCATCGATGGCTGGAGGGTTGTATTGTTGGGAGAGGGCATCTGGTTTCTGGTTATGGGACCCCAGCCAATAAGAGAGGGTAAACTGGAACCGATCAAAGAACAAGGCCCACCTCGCTTGTCGGGGGTTCAGTCTCTTAGCTGACTGGAGGTAGGCCAAGTTCTTATGATCAGTCAAGACTAAAAACAGTTGGTCGGCACCTTCAAGGAGATGCCGCAATTCTTCCAGGGCTAGCTTAACAGCCAGTAATTCCTTGTTGCCCACATCGTAGCTACGTTTGGCCGGGGTCAACTCTCAGGAGTAGTAGGCACAGTGGTGCAAGGTATGGTCTTCCCCGGACCGTTGAGAAAGGACCGCTCCCACCCCAGTTTCGGACGCGTCCACCTCTACCACGAACTGCCATGAGGGATCAGGTTGGAGGAGTACGGGGGCTGAAGTGAAGCAGTGTTTAAGTTCCTGGAAGGCCTGCTCTGCTGTCCAGGACCATGCAAACTTCACCTTGGTGGAAGTGAGCTGTGTGAAAGGGGCTGCTATAGTGCCATAATTTTTGATGAAACGGCGATAGAAGTTTGCAAAGCCCAGGAAGCGTTGCAGGCCCTTCTGACAGGTGGGGGTAGGACAATCAGTGACAGCAGTGATTTTGGCTGGGTTGGCGTGGAGTCTTCCCGGAATGC